GGGAAGGGGGTACAGAGGTGGAGCGGGAAGGAGCCACAGAGGTGGAGCAGGAAGGGGCCACAGAGTGGAGTGGGAAGGGGCCACAGAGTGGAGCGGGAAGGGGGTACAGAGGGCAGAGGAAGAGAGACAGCCAAGGACACAGCCCCGGAAGCCTTTGTCGTCTTCGCATCCTTCCCTGTATCCACCACCCCGACTGACCCTGAACTTCTCTACTCTTCAAATCTAACAAAAAGTAAACCCAGCGCCTGTGACACGGCTCAGAATAAAGGCACTTGCCACTCAGCCTGACAACCTGAGTTCAATCCCCATGTGCCACATCACATGGCTAAGGAGAGAACCAGTTCCCACGTAGTGTCCTCTGACCTCCACAGGGGCCATGGCGTGCTGGCACGTTCCAGTGCACACACAGAAAAGGAAACTCCGACTGGGTGTGGTGCCTTGCCTCTGCAGGTGAACTCTGACTGCCCCTCTGATACCCCAGACTGGCGCCTCCTCCTCCTCCTCGTCCTCCTCCTCCTCCTCCTCCATCTATACCCCTGTAGGAGCTACTCAGGCCCAGCCAGGCTCAAGACCGTCCCAGGCCAGCCTCTCCCACCACCTGAGGAGGTAGAAGACTGAAAGGCTCACGTGAGAGCGTTACCATTCCCTGTCCCCGCAGCTGGAGGGGCGAGGGGGGAGGGGAGGATACAAGGGAGGGGTAGCATGGGTCACATGCCTTCAGCCCTCCCTGCCAAGTCCCCTCACTCCTGACTGGGATTCCTAAAGCCTAGCACACCACACATCACCTACAGTTACACAAGGGAAACTCGGGGATTCTTGGTTTTGACACTGGGAAGAATTTCAGGACCAGCCAGTGTGGAGCGCAGCTGGTATTAGAGAGATTTTAAAACAGATTTCAAGCAGGACAGTTAGCGAGAAGGCGCCTGGGAAGAGGGTCTGACACAATCAAGGGCATGAATGTGGGCAGCTCAAGGGTCCCGACTGTCTCCACCATAGCCATCTACACCCTTCTGGTGGGGTGTGAAATTGTTCTCGCCAGAAGGTTACTAAAAAGCCTAAGGGAGACCACAGGGTGGATCCTGAGGGCACCAGACAGGTTTACAGCAGATAAAGGGCTAAATCAGAGGGAAGCCAGACAGTAAACAAAGTCAATGATCCATCTGAGACTCAAAGAAAATGTCTGGGGCTGGAGGGATGGCTCAGCGGTTAAGAGCACTGGCTGCTCTTCCAGAGGACCTGGGTTCAATTCCCAGCAACCACATGGCAGCTCACAACTGTCTATAACTCCTGTTCCGGGGATCCGATACACTCACACAGACATATATGCAGGCAAAATACCAATGTACATAAAATACAAATAAGTAAATTATTTTTAAAAAAATACAAATAAGTAAATTATTTTTTAAAAAATGTCTGGGAGAAAGATGAAGCCTTACCTACATTCATATGCATTCATGTCTTAAGACTGGTTCAGTGATATTCTAACATAAAATATCTACAATGAAAGGATATTATCTGTGTGTCCAAGGCCACCTTCAGAGTAAATATTGTTAGCTAATCATGCCTGCATTCTGGTCTCTCAGCCAGCCAGAGGCTTCAGCCAGGCTCTGGGTCAGAGACTCCTCCTTCCCACAGCCCCATAACTCTGTCTTTCTATGCTGCTTCAAAATAACTCCAACTGAGACAAACCCTGAGTAAACCACTGGCCTCTCTGAAAGCCCCGGGATCTGTGTGCATATCACAAGATGGTTTCTGGCATTGACTCACACGGTCAAGGCAGCTCAGTGCAGCATGTGGGCAAGATGGAGAGAGGCCAGGCAGTGGGCCTCTGCTGAGCCGCCCTAACGGGTCGCATCCTGCGGCCTTCACGTGACTGCAGTGGGTGAGCAGCCCACTCTGTCCTCCTTAGCCCTTTAATGTGTACTCGATGCTGGGGAATGACGATGAACACTGCTTGAAGATGGAGTATGTGCTGGTTATTTCTTTTCAAAGTTTGATCCCTGAGCAGATTGCCTCCTAATCTCCTGAGGTGCAAATGAGTCATGCGGACCTCAGCTCCATTACAGACATCCTGATTCAGGATGTCAGGGAGGGGCCCGGAGGGATTTAATCAGTGACACACAGTCAAACCTCTGTGCTGAGGAACTCACCTGAGAAATCTCATGAACTTGAACTGGTGAGATGGCCCGGCCCGGCTGGTAAAAGTGCCTGCTACCAAGCCAGAGGATGTACGTTCGACACCCAGGACTCGTGGTGGAAGGAGGGGACGGACCCTTCCAAGTTGTCCTCTGGTTCAATATGGCAGGGATGAGCACATGTGTGTTACAGATATGTTAAAACAAAAACAGAGAGAAAGAAATCACACATACTCCATGAAGGCCTGAGGAGGTGGGAATTAGTGTCCCCAAATTACATATGAAATCGTAAGGTGGGGAGAAGTCAGTGGCTGGCCTGGGAAGGAAGTCCAGGGTCTGTGCAACCCTCCCGGCTGCCCTCACCCCTCCCTGCTGCCCTCACCCCTCCCTGCTGCAGGGCCTACCGAATGGGGAACAGATGGGTAGGCAGAAAAGGGTCAGCAAGGGTCACTGTGAGGACCAGGCTTTCTCCTGAGTCAATGGATGTGAGAGCCAGCTTTTGTTTGTTTGGGTTTTGTTGTTTTGTTATCATTTTAAATATTTTATTTGGGGCTGGACAGATGACTCAGTGGTTAGAGCACTGGTTGGCCTTGCAGAAAACCCAGGTTTGATTCCCAGGGCCCACAAGGTGGCTCACAACCATCATAACTTCAGTTTCAGGGGATTGGAGCCTCCTTCCGACCTTCTTAGACACCAGGTGTGCACATGGAACACAGACATTTATGTAGGCAGAACACTCGTGCACACAAAATAAAATAAAATAAATCGGAATTGGAAATCCTTCTTTGACAATTTCACCCATGTGTGTAATATGCTTTGATGATATTTACCCTTTCATTACCTCCCCCTACTGAGATGGGGATTACTATGTAGTTCCAGCTTGCCTGAAACTCACTATGTAGACTATGCTGATCTGGAACTCACAGAGCTCCACCTGTCTGTGCCTCCCTGTGCTGGGGTTAAAGGTGTGCACCAGGCCAGCCTCTGTCCTCCCTCCTGCTGTACTTGTACTTTTGTGTTTTTCAAAGATTTTTTTAATGTGTCTGAGTGTTTGCCTGGATGTGTATCTGTGTACATGTGCATGCAGGTGCCTGCAGAGTCCAGAAGAAGGCGTTAGGTCCCCAGAGACTAGAGTTACAGATGGTTGTGAGCCACCACGTGGATGCTGCGAATTGAACCTGGGTTCTCAGCTTAACTAGACCCTGGTTTTGTGTTTTTTAAAAACAGGGTCTCGCCGGGCGGTGGTGGCGCACGCCTTTAATCCCAGCACTCGGGAGGCAGAGCCAGGTGGATCTTTGTGAGTTCGAGGCCAGCCTGGTCTACAGAGTGAGATCCAGGAAAGGCGCAAAGCTACAGAGAGAAATTCTGTCTCGAAAAAGAAAACAAAACAAACAAACAAACAAAAAACCTAAGGTCTCACTGTGTAGCTGGACAGGTTTGGAACTCAGTAGGATCCTCCTGCCTCAGCCTCTGGAGTGTTGAGATCACACAACACCCAGGAACAGCCAGCTCTTTAGACATGGCAAATATCTAGCTCTGCTGCTGTCTCGCTGTTAAATTGGAAACTGAGAAGGCATCTTTGCCTCTTTGCAAAAGCCTCAGGGCCTCCATCACCTGTGGAGCACGAGTTTCCAGCAGCTTGGACCTGAGGTAATTACTGACTGATGATACCACCAAGGATGTTGCATTCCTAAGACCTGAGGCCTTTTTTTCTAGACTGGGCTTTGCAGTAAACCTGCCACAGGGCCTTACAGTAACACCCTTCAGGGATGAGCGCCCTGAGGCTGAGGCAGGTCAGAGGCCGCGACTCACAGACGGGTCTGGGTTCTGGCTAGCAGCCCTAACCTGTACGTTGGGAGCAGAGTTCTCAAAGACAACCCACGTAACCTGGGGTTGGAGCCCAGCACCCAAGCCACACAGCCTCTGCGCCCCTGGGTGGGCCCAGTGTGCTGCCGGTGGCCACCAGGTGGCGCTGCGAGGCCAGTGACTCCCTGGTGCAGTCCACGCCTCTTGCGCGGACTCAACTCTCCGACCTGGAGGCCCCGGTAGCTTGAGGTGGACCGGGCAAAGGTTTGGCAAGCAGTGGGAGGCCTCTGTCCCACTCCCTGCCGACCTGCTCCCTTGACCCAGACCGGCGCAGACCTCAGCCGCAGCTCCAGCCGTGGCTCCGGCAGGCCTCGGGGACGCCTGGTGGGCTGCGCCCCTGCTGGACCTCCTTCCTCTTTCCCAGCCGCAGCCTCCGCGTGTGAGTTCGCTCGTAACTCTGCGTGGAGTTGCACAACTCCACGAAAGAAGAAACTCTGCCACAAGGACCGTTCCTATTGGAAACTCAGCCGTCCGCATTCAAATAGGGTGTTAGGAACGAGCAGGCTGAGGATTAGCCTTAGTGCACTTGCCGAGCATGCACGGAGCCCTGGGTTCCCGCCCCTGTACCCTCAAACAAACAAGCAAATGGTAACGCTGTGAGTCTGCTGTCTTTTCTCCCGAAGTTCTTTCCTCTCCAGGCGCTTGGTCCTTAGATGGGCCAGAGTGGCTGCCCACAAACCTCTCCTGCAATTCTGTTTTCATCTTGCATAGACCAGTGAGCGCAAGGGCTTGGTGCCACTCGCCCTGCTTCCGGGCTGACCGCAGTTCTGAACTGCTGCAACATTTTGTTCCTCTCAGGCCCCTGTGGAGGGGGAGGAGGACCTGGACTGAGTGGGGAGGAGACTAAGCATCGGATTCGGTTTCTATTCAGCACTGGAGAGTCTGCGCCCCTGCAAAGGCAGCTGGCACGGATAGAGCTTACCGTGCTTACTGTAATGTGGACCGCTCACGGCTGCTGGGCAGGGTCCCACAGGGAAACAAGTCCACATGTAGTTGTCGGCATCTGGGATGTTCTGAGGATTTTTCTCTTGTGTGTGTTTGGTGTGTGGGTGGGTGGGTGCCTGCTTGTGCTATGTGAGTGCAGATGCACGTGGGTGTGCCGGTGTGCATGTGTGTGTGCATGTGTGGGGGGGTGTGGAGGGGGGGCTACATGACTACAGATGCATGTGGGTTTGGATGTGTGTGGAGGCCAGAGATCAAACTCTGATGTCTTCCCTCAGGTACCGTCCAACTTTTTTTTTTTTTTTTTTTAAGACAGGGTCTAGCTGGTTGACTGGGTCCCAGTAGTCTGTGCTGACTGGCTGGCCGGCTAGCTCTGGGACCCACCTATCTCCACTTCCACTAAACTAGGATCGGAATCTCACCACAGCATCAGCGCCTTTTCCACCTTGAGATCAAGTTGTCCCTCAACAACCCTGCACTGCCCTGTGCCCAACTGGACAGCCTGCACCACCCTGTGCCCAGCTGGACGGCCTGCACCACCCTGTGCCCAGCTGGACAGTTTGCCATGTACAATCATACTGTATGTGTTGACAAGTCAGCTGACTCACTGGCTTTCAGGCTTTATCAAGTTGAACCTCAATCAGTTCTTGTTGTGTTTTGTTTGGGAGGGGATTGCTGGGTTGTTTGTTTGTCTGTCTGTCTGTCTGTCTGTCTGTTTGTTTGTCTGTTTTGGGTTTTTGTTTTGTTTTGTTTTTTGAGACAAAGTTTCTCTGTTGGCTGTCCTGGAACTCTCTTTGTAGACCAGGCTGGCCTCAAACTCACAGAGGTCCACCTGCCTCTGCCTCCAGAGTGCTGGGGTCAAAGGCATGCACCACCATGCCCGGCTCTCAATCAGTTCTTAAAGGAGGCTGCCATCTGTCCACTGGACTCTGTCAGAGGGCCGGGCTGCAGCTACTCTCTTGAGAAGCTAACCACATATGCAAATACGTGTTGGAGGTGTGAGCCACCTCGGGGTAGAAAGTAGCCCTGGTTTGTCTAGCAATGCTGGGGATAGGGTGAGGGGCTGAAGCCTTCACTGAAGCCAGTGCTTCTGACGAAGTGGGGGAGAGTGTGGTCTCAGGCCATAGCTCATCCTTGACTGCTTCAGGTCTTCACTTGAGTCATCCCAGAGTTCCCCTGACCGTCACTGGGAACATTCCAGAGTGTGACATCTTTCAGGAAACAAGCTCAGTTCCTGGAAGCGTCCACAGAGAGCAAGCCTCACCCCCATGTGTCTTTCTTAGAACCCTACCTGCCAGCAGCTGGGATGAATGGTAGAGGTCAAGGGGTAACCCACCAGGGTCTGGAGAAGCCTGCCTCCTGTCTGCCTTTCACAAAGGTCCCTAGATGTCTCTGCTCCCTGGGGACTCATAGTCAAATGAGAAAGGAGTTGAGCCCAGGGACGGACGGGCAGAGAGGTCGCAGGACTCCCGGCCTCTCGCTGGCTGAGCCCACCGATCTCCAGGTCTCTATCTGGCCTTTCTGCTTCCCTCCAGGGACCTGGAGAAGGGCAGTGAAGCCAGTGAGCACTCTGACTCATTTACTGTGAACTCATCAAGATGAGGTTTGGCAAGAGTCTGTGGGCGTCTTGGGAGAACTCTTGGCTGCCTTCATTTCTTCTTGTAGTGTTTTTCTCTTGAAATAGAAAGTCTGGTTTTACCGAAAAGAGATGGAAAGACCAGAGTACTATTGCATCAGAGCATAAGAAGAAATTAAGAATTTGTCTTTTGTTCCCTACCTTTGGTGTGTGTGTGTGTGTGTAATCATCTGTGTGCATGTTTGTGTTCCTGAGTGTGTGCATGTGTGTTTGGAGGCCAGAGGGGGATGTAAGGTGTCTTCCTCAGCCACTTGCTACCTTATGGTCATTATTCTTTTGAGACAAAAATCTCTCAGAGCTCAGCTATTCTCCTAGACTAGCAGGCCAGCAAGCCCAGGGGTCCTGCCTCTGTCTACTGAGTGCTAGTTTTATGGCACATTTGGCTTTTTCCCCCTTTTTTTAAGGCCTGTATTCTGTGGGATCAAACTCAAGTGTTCCTGCTTGCTCAGGAAGCACCTTCCCGACTGAGCCTTGTCCTCAGCCCTATTTTCCGCCAGGATTTGAGGAGAGGGATTAAACACAAAAGGTGAGAGGTGAGAAAGAAGAATGGGGAATTCACAGCTTGGTGGGGAGAGGTTGAAAACCAATTTCAAAACTACCTTTAGGCAGGGTGTGGTGGTATATGCCTAATCATGGCACTTCGGCAGAGGCAGGTGGACCTCTGTGAGTTTGAGGCCAGCTTGGTCTACACAGATGTTCCAGATCAACCAAAATAAAATAGCAAGACCCTGGGCAAAACAACAACAAAAAACAAAACAAACTAACAAAAACCCTACCATTAAGTTTTATTCCTTTATATATTTCATACTGAAAGACTCACATTTTATCTGGTCCCTGTTTGCATTCCACCACTATCGGCTGAAGTCATGTAAATTCTTTGTTTCTTTTTCAAGACAGGGTTTCTCTGTGTAGTCCTAGTTGTCCTGGATCTCACTCTGTAGACCAGGCTGGCCTCAGACTCACAGAGATCAGCCTGCCTCTGCTTCCCAAGTGCTGGGATTAAAGGCGTGCGGCACCGCCCTGGTTATGTAGACTCTTGAGTACCTTGCATCACAGGGTAAACAGGAGTTTGTTTTGTTTATTGTTCGTCCCATCAGTGATTAACTGGGGAGTTCATGTCTGCCAACAATAAGCTATCTGTCCAAAAAGCCACAAGAAAACCATCTCACTTCCTTAATTTGCATTTAAACAACATCGGGCATTGCAGTATGGTTTCCATGGAACAGAACAGTGGTTTACAAACAGAGCTCAGAGCCAAGGCTTGGGAAAGATGGACAAAGAGACAAGCAGGACAGGGCTTCCTGGGGGGGCGGGGAGAATACATTTTTATATTTTTGGTTCTGAAAGTACCCAGAAAAGTAAACATGAACTTGAAGGACAAGTTTATTTATTTATTTACTCTCTGCCTATTCCAGAAACCTCTAAAGGTTTCATACAACATGCACAATGCAGCAAGATTCTTTTTTTAAGACAAGAAAGTAGCTGGTGTCAGGAGGGCCCCCAGTTTGGAGCCAGCCTGAGCTAAATGAGATGTTGTCACACACAAAGAAAGTCAAGTGGAAAAGGGAAAGAAAGCTAACGTTATAATTAACCTTTGTCAGCGCCGCTGGATTTGAAATCTCCTAGTAGCCTCCCCTCCGGCCGCGTCTAAGGGAGCGTTTCCAGCGAGGGAACTGGGGAGGAAAGAGCCTCTCTGGTCAGGCATTCCGTCGTGATGAGAAAAGCAACTGATAACAGAATGTAAAACAGTGGCTGGGAAATCCAGATGTGCTCGGGTAAGATTCACAAGAAAAGCTAGACTGAGAGCAGAGGTTGCAACTGGCAGACAAAGTTCACAGAAGGGTCAAGAGGACATGTTGTTTCTCTTAGAGTGCAATGGCGTCCTGGGCAGAGCCCTGAGGTCTTTGCAGATGCACCAGGAATCTTCTGGAAGAGTTACTTGACTTGCAGCGAGCAGGCGAGCAGGTGAGCAACCATCTTGCCACCACCACTGTCCTCCAGACTCAGCAAGAGGAGTCTGTGCCCCATGTGGCCACCTTCAGTCTTTGGCCACACACCCCTCCCACGTGAGCAGACACACTCCAGACACCCCCTTCAGCCTTTCACCGTAATTTTGTCAGCTTGACCAGATTGAGGCTTGCCCAGGAGATCAGGAGAGCACAACTGGGTACCGGTGGTGAGTTTTCAGAGATCATGAAGACTCTGAGCTAATAAAGGATTAATCACAGATGGGTTCAATATACAGGGACTTTATTGGAGGTGATATAGAGTAGGAGGTGGGGCCTTACTGAAATAAGGAGGTCACTGGGGGGGGGAGGGTTGTCCTAAGGGCTGTATCTCACCCTGGCTCCTACTGGTAACATTTCCTGTTGCTTCTTGTCTTCCAGGATGTCTAGTTGTTTTTCTATTGTGTGATAAAACACCATGACCAAAGCAACTTATTTGGGCTCACGGTTCCAGAGGGATGAGAGTCTGTACCGTCACGTCATGGCAGCACAGCAGGCAGAGATGTGAGTCCTTACTGTACCGTCCGGCAGGGCAGCAGCAGGCAGGGATGAGTCCTTACTGTACCATCATGGCAGGGCAGCAGCAGGCAGGGATGAGTCCTTACTGTACAGTCATGG